GGAGGTGTTTTTTTTGTTTTGTTTTTTTGGTACCAGGAATCGAACTCAGGACCTTGCACTTATGAGGCAGGCACCAGAACCACTGAGCTAAATCCCCAGCCCTGGAGGTTGTTTTCTTTTAGGCCTTAAAATACTTCACTCTAAGCTCTCTTTGACTTGAGGGTTTGTGTTGAGATGTCTCCTGTGATTCTGTTGGGCTTTCCTTTGTAGGTGATTTGTTTCTTTTCTTTAACAGTTCTTAATATTCTGTTCTGGTGTTGAATTTCTGGACTCTTGACTGTTGCATGCCTTAGTGTAGTTTTTTTTTAAATTTTTTTGATCATTGCTAATTGGAGTTCTATCTGCCTCACTTATCTTTGTCAAATTCTTTTTCCCTGTTTGGGAATTTTTCTGCCATTACTTCTGTGAACAGGTTTCTTTATGTCATTTGTGCCTCTCCTGCTTTTTCATTGACTCCAGTCAATCTTATGTTATTCTTCTTTGCATCATCCAGCAGCTGTTAGATTGATTTTTCATGGTCCCTTACTATTTTTAAGAGATCTTTCTTTTCATGAACACTAACTGGAATGCTGTCTTCTATAGCTGATAGTCTTCTGTCTTCACATTGGCTCTTTTTGCTGCGTGTACTTTCAATGTATTTTTTTTTTTTTTTGTACCAGGGATCGTACTCCTTTCAATGGAAGTTTTGATCTTCTGGATATCTGGTTTGAGTCTGTTTCATGGATTCCATTTCTTTCCTATATTGGGAGTTCATGATTTCCATCATTTTCTAAGCTCCTCTATTTTTTTTTTTAATCTGTACCTGCTCTATAGTCACTAACCATGTCTTTCATCATGGCCACCATCTCTGTAGTTATCTGAGACATTATCTCTGATATGATTTTTTTCTAGAGCCTCATTCATCTGCTTTGTTTCTTCTGCTGTTGCCACTTCAGGTGGGTAGCTTTTGAATTGTTCTACCTCATTGCCCCCTCAGTTTGCCTTTGTGGAGCTGGAAGTCGGGGGTTAGCTTAAATGCGTTCTTATTTTCTTTTTGGTTAATTCCTGGGTTGATGCTTGTAAATTGCTTCTGGCAGATAGCTTTATTGGTAGTAGGTAGAACCCTTAGGAAATGACTACTTCTCAGAGATGTCTTTCGGGTGTAGGTGACTTTTGGATTTTGAGCCTGTTGCAAGATCCTTTGTCTTCAATTTATTGGAGATGAGAAGTTGCTGCTTATTTGGCCCAGCCCCTGGTTCTTTGGCACCAGCCTATAGTATTGTTTATGACCTTAGCCAGTCTTTGTCTTGGCATACTGGGAAGAACAACTGATTAGAACAATTATGTCACCTTGACTAAAGTAGTACAATCAGCAATAGCAACAGCATCAAAAACACCCTAGAAAATGAGAAACTGTGGTAACTTAATTTGCCATCTTTAACTCTATTAACTAGATTTGTGTTTATATAACAAATCTAAAACAAGCAAGAAAATTGTATACAGCATATATGCCCTCAATGTGGAGATTTTACTCTCAGGAGAAAATTTTAAAGGGGTTGGGTGAAAAAATAGAGAAATAGAAGAGGAAGAAGAAGAGGAGGAGGCGGAAGAGGAAGAAGAGATTAGAAGTAAGGCTTGAGGACAAAGAAAGAGTATGTGAACTTCGGGAAACTGGTAAAGAAGACAGGAGATAAAGAGAGAAGGAGGAAATAAAAACAAGAACATAATAGAACAACAACAAACAGCCTGCTTGCAAAAAACTGTCCTTAAAATGGTTTTATTTGTGTCTAGTCAGATGGAAGCAGATAGTCATCTCATTTCAATTTAAAGTGAAGATGAGATTTTACTTCGGCATTTTCTTTATTAGGCTGTCCAAGTATGCCACTGTCCAGATTATAACATATTTTCATATAGATGTTTGGATGCTTTGAACAATGAGGAAGGAGTACAAAAAGGTAGATCTCCAACTTTTATTTTCCTTAGGCAGGTAAAAAAACTGGATGAAAGTTAAAACAACTCATTTTTCTCTCTATGTCCTGCTGCCTTGGCCAAAGGTAACGCAGGTAGCAATAGAGACAAGCTGGGTATTTCGGTGAATCCTGTGAGTTGTGGAGGATATCTTCAGGATATCCCATGTGTAGAGCAGTGAGCAAACTTTCATCTGTGCTCCTGGGTTGCTGCTAATACTTCTCTGCATGGTGTTGCTGATGTCCAGCAAGTCAAAACAACATGAGTCTTCTGAGTGGTCTCAGCAGGAAGCCAGTATATATTTTCTACCACCTGTCATCAGAAGTCTTGTTATGTGCCACCACTGTTCTCATGCGTTAAACCATATTTTCTTCAAATGATTTTTGTGCAGTAAAGTATAATACCAGTGCTCCTTTTTCCCTAAAGCCTTTTGGTATGCACTTAGCAGGTTGGAAAAATGGTCCTCAAAGCATCTACTATTATAACATTGATAATCTTGTGACTACCAACTGTTGGTATTTACTGATACGTTTTCTAATTTGATTTTGGTTTCTGATTTTGATTTTGGTGTGAAGTAGAACTTCTTGAAGTCTGTTTAATAACTGAAAGACTGATCTGTTAGGAAAAGGTGAGAATAATGTGTTTTTAATTTGAACATCTCGCTTGTGGCATGTCTAGTAGGTAGCAAATGGATTGATAATTAGGCTGTGTTGACAAAGAACCATAGGTAAGCTGCAGCTTTCTCTTGCAGATTTTTTTCCAAATGTGAATTCTAAAGTCAAGGCAGTTGCTGCACTAGTGGCTTGGCCCTGTAAGCACAACTGCAGCAGCAGCTGTTGCTGAGGCCTCTGCTGGAGGTGAAGGAGGGAACACTGTGCTGTTCCTTCTGTCTTGCCCATTTGACTTAATTTCCCAAGTGGACATGATGCCCTGTGGACATCTTCTGCCTCTCCATCTGGAGACTGTGTAATGCTGCAAGGTTCCATTAGTGTCAAAAGAATATAATACGTTCCCTTGCTCAGTAGAGTCACTTGGCATCGTCCTTACCCTCCACACACCTACCCAGTCCTTAAATCTGTTCTCCAAATCCATCCCAAGGTACCTAAATCATTTAATGAACTGACTTCCTGCCAAATGTGCTTATTTTTGATTTATTTAAATTCATCCAGTCAGAGTATTCACTAGGGGTTGGGAAGGAGGAGAGAAGGGAGGGAAGCCTTCTGTTTCTAAGGTATATTTAAGAAGATTCATTTAAAGTGGTGTTATTACTTCACTGTACCCAGAGCCTCAAGGACTGCTTTCTAAGCAGGTCTGCTGGATATTGAATCTATTACAGTTGAAAGGGGAAGAAAATTAACTTTATAAAAAGCATGTGAATGTGCTTTTCTTGTAATGTAACTTTAAAAAATTTTTTAACATTAAAAAAAATTGAGAATTCTTCACAACCAGTGCATTTTAAAAAATTTAGTCCATAAGGTAAGCTTTCACCAATATAGTTGCTAGAATTACCTTTTTTATTGCCAACTTTAGAGACCTTATAGCAGATATGGTCCTTAATTTTACTGTGCTAATGTAGCTATCCTTTATAGCTTCTAATCTAAATGTTTATGGCACTTTATGAAAATTCCCTTGATTACCTCAGAAAAAAATCTATGACATTTTCCTTTAGTCAGAACATTTTAATAATTGTTTAAAAATTTGTGTAAATCTATTGCAACTACTGTCTTATAAAGACTGAAAAAGAGTTATGTTCACAATGTCTTTTTTTTTTTTTTGGTACTGGGGATCGAACTCAGGACCTTGTGCTTGCAAGGCAGGCAGGGTGCCACTGAGCCAAATCCCCGACCTGTCTTATTTTTTTAAATTATTAAATATGTATTTACACGAAATGTTTTAAACTTTCTATTCTCCTACATGTATTTCTTATCTTTTTCTTTCCATTGCAACTAACAACTTGGTCTTTAAGCTTTGGTGGAGATGCTGTTTGAGTAGCCTTTATATTATTTGAAAGGTTTTACTTAAAACATTTGTAAAAGACAATACACTAAGGGTAGATCATCTCTGATTCCCTATAAAAAACAAAACTCAGAAATATTTGATGTTAACATGGTTGAATCACATTCTTTAAATCTCTTTATGAGCTTATCCAACCTTTGCTGTAGATTTTCTTGGCAGTTCTTTGAAGGACACTTGACAATCAGAGGTTGCATAATCTTTTACTTTAAAGCCTGATAAACAGACTTAGGCTGAATCCTGACTGTGTGCTAAATTTCTGATTTGTAGATGTGGGTTTTTTGGGTTTTTTTTAACATGAGTCCACTACAGTATTGTATTCACTTTTAGAATATCCTTCTTAAAGAAAAGAGAACATGAGAAAAACCACCCTGTGCAGTGAAAAGGATAATAGTGGCTAGTATTTATTGAATACTTATTATATGGCAGCCACTATTCTAAGTACTTTTTTTAAGTACTGTGCTAAGCATTCTAAGTACTTTCTAACCTGTAATGATTTATTTAACTTTTGCAATAACCCTGTGAGTTACAAGTATTCTCTATTAATCCCACTTTGTACATGCAAAAACTCAGATACTGAGAGGTTAGATTACCTTATCCTATGTCATGTATGTAATATATGGCACTGCTATGACTCAAACCCATACATGCTAAATTGTCACAGGAGGTAGTTAACAAAACTTTTCAAATTTTAATTTCAGTCATTGTAAATGTGACATTGTTGTTTTGGGTAGAAATCTGGCCTCTATTATTAAGACCTCCACGAAGCCATGAAGTAGTGTGTGCTCCATTATCAGTCCTTTTCTCCTTCTACTCATAGGTTTCTCTGAAACAGTTCTGAGGGGGACAAGAATAGCATGAGAAAATGAATGTTATATGGATTTTAATTGCTTAATTTGTTGCTGTACAACCTAGTGGTGGCTGAAAGTTTGGCATTAGAGAAATGTATTTCTTTATGTAAAATGCTTTGTTTTCAGGAATCTAAAATTTTCTGTAATAAGCTGCATTAATTTACTTCTTCCTCAACAATTTTCCTCTAGCATGTTTCGCCAAGGGATGCATGACTTGAAAGTCTGGCCTAATGTAGAAGCAGATGGATCAGAACCCACAAAAACTCCTGGCAGAACAAGCAGTACTGTCTGTGAAGATCAGATGAGCCGCCTTGCCAAGGTAAAAAGGATTGTTGAAACTAGTAGAATCTTCTGAATGATGTCTGTAATAGCATACCATCTTATTATGAATTCTGTCAGATTTTTTAAAATTTAAATTTAACTTTTTAGTAACAGTTTTATTGAAATACGATTCATATCCATAAAATTCACTCTTAGAAAATGTACAGTTCCAAGTTGTGTAATCACTGCTGTGTAATTTTAGAATCTTCTCATTGCTCCTGAAAGAAGTCATGTATTCATTAGCAATTAATCCCTTTTCCCTTCCCTGCAGCTCCTAATCTACTTTCTTTCTCTATGGCTTTGGATATTCTAGACGTTTTATATAAGTGGAATCACATGTTATGTGGTCTTTTGTTCTGAAATCTCCTCACGTTTGAAAATGTGGATCTCTTAGTGATGTTTTCAAGATAACCACCTACCTTTACCTGTGACATTGTCTTAGTGTTACATGAGAGATGCTTATGTTTTTTGGAAATGAAGACTCATTATATAGTTAATTAGTCTGATGTGCCTTTATCTTCGTTTTTGTAAGCAAATCAAGTTATTTTTTTCTTTCAAGATTGTTTTAATGAAGTGTTTTCAAAATAAAAACATTGCAATTTTGTACTTAAATTGTAACAGTATAATTTATTTTGTATATCCTCTTACAAAGGCCTGTGTTAGATTCTGCTTAAAGGTTCTTTTACAATTCTTTTGTTTAAGACTTTCTTTTACTTTTCACATGTATTTTTTCTTTCTTGATCTTAATGTGGTTTTATTGGTATAGATGACTTTTTAATGTCTGGAGGAAGTTTTGATGCTAATCATTTAACAGCTTTTTGCTTCTACCTACAGAGAATAGTACTCAATTACAAAAATATTTGTGTGGTTAGGCTTTGTGCTTCAACATAAAAATTCCTGTTACCATGTCTGTTCTTTATATTGCTCTTTTAAGGAAAAATGATCTCATAGCTATCTAATAAGCATATTGACCAATACATTATTACTGATCTCTTCTCTCTATATTTAAATAAGTGAAATTTGATGTTCACTTCAGCTGTTTATTCTGAGATCTTGTTTGTGTTTTTGCAAGGAGCATAGGAAAGTTCACAAATTTTTTTGTATATCTACCTTCTCTTTGAGTTTATGTACGTTGGCAGTGGTCTTTGATTGAAGCTACTTTCTGTGACTTATGTCAAATAATGCTAGACATTTTATTAGAATCAGCTCATTTATAAACTGTGGAGTACAAAAAAATGTGAACAACATAGTTAAATCACAAATACTAGAGGAATGTGGATTACACTGAAGAAACAGAAGGTCTTAAATTGTCTTTTGAGGGTTGCATTATGACTTATGGATGAAATTCTATAATTGGAGGAAGGAATGGCAAAGTCAGGAAATGTAAAGCTGTATAGTTACACAGTTTATGCACTTTCTTTCTTTATTTTTATTCAAATTATTTGGGGTTATATTCAGATGTTCCTAATTTTTTTTTGTTTTGTATTATTTTTGGTGTTTTTTGTTTTTTGTTTTTTGTTTTTGGTATCGCGGATCGAACTTGGGTCCTTGCGCTTGCAAGGCAGGCAGCGGAACCACTGAGCTAAATCCCTGGCCTATTTTTGGTGTTTTGAGACAGGGTCTCACTATATAGTTTGGGCTGGCCTTGAACTCACTGTGTAGCCAAGGCTGGTCTTGAATTTGTGGCAGTTCTGCCTCAGCCTCCCAAGTGCTGGGATTATAGGCATGCATTGCTACGCCCAGCTTTTCCTAATTATTTTTGAAGGAAAGTTCAAAAATAATTTTTTTGACTATGACATTTTTTAAACATCAGTATATATTGTATTGGAATTCTTTTGAATTGGACTATTGGTTTTTTATTATAGCATAATGTTACAGTATGTATTTCTTATTTTTATCTTTTGACTGAGAATAAGAAAGATATATCTTGATAATGGTCAGGGTGTTTATGATTCAAACACTAACCTATTAAGTGATGTATGGGTTCATGTTTATACTTTCCATTGTCTGTGCATGCTAACCTGTCTAGAAATTATGACTGAGCATAAACAGAGCTACATAAGATGCTGGAAAGAAGCCTTTTTAATATTTTTGTTAATTGCTAACAATCACCATCATCCGTCTTTAGAGTATAGCAAGTTGGATCCCACTCTTTCAAGAGATAGTTATTAAAGTTTATGTGTTGCTTGTATTGCTCATAATGTTTAACAATTTTCATAAATCTTTATTTATAAATCTTTAAAAGGAAGTAAAAACTAAGGAGAGTAAACATCTCAACATTTTGACTGATAGTAACGGGAACAGAGTACGTTTTCATATTCTTTCAAATTCAGCCCTATTAGAACTGTACTTTTAACTTCTGGATGGAGTGGAGATGGGCAGAACTCGCCATGCTGTGATAGTTTGGTTTAGTGTTACTTCCTCAAAGACTAAATAGAAACCATCAAAATGAGTAATTACTTTACTTAAAGGAGAAAAATGAGTCTTGTTTGTAGCATTGATAAGGAACTACTTCCTTGAAACTTTATTTCTTGGTACTTTTGGCTAATGTCTCTTTTTCAAGACAACAGCTGATCATGCTTTTGAAGAAAAATGTGTTTACAAAATGATGTCTTAGGCTTGACGGAATTGGAAGCTTGGGCACTGGAAATCACTTTATAGTGAGAAGAGCACTGTAGTGTCACAGTTTTGGCCAGCCTAATAACTCAGTGAAAATTATTTCTGAGCTGATGAAATTAGAAGTTTAGGATGAATGATTTCTAAGGTCTAATGTAGCTTTTCATATTCTGTGCTTCTAAAGGTAACGATATATATAGCAAATAATTAGGATTATTTACCTCAATTTATAGTTACCACTTTTATAGAATACAGAGTTTTGATCATCAGTTTGCAATTGTGAATGTGTTATACTTGTGTCATTTCTTTTCTTCTGTAGTGTGTAAGCCTGAAGTGTTGTATAAGGTTTGTCTAATGTGAATAAGGTGGCTTTGCTCATAGTTTTTGTTCTTGCTTGATCAGTGCCTGCTTCTTCACTTAAATGTTTTTTTGACAGGCTTTCTGAGCAACAGCTCTTTCTTCAACCAAAGCATGGTCCATTTGCCTTGCCTTACAACAGAGAAAATGCCCGTTGATACTTATGATCTTAACTTGATAACTTATCAGATAATTGTTATTTATGTTCTTAACTCAAAATTATACTCATTTTTTTCTTAATATTATGTCACCATAATGTACTCACTCTCTCTGACCTTCTTTAAAAACAATTTATTTTTACAATGTCATTCTCTTCCTGAAAACATTTTGAAATTATCTTTGATGTAATAAACTTCTAAAAACCAAGAAAGGTTTGTATGCTTCATGCTTTGATTTTTATACAAAAGGAACAGATTGTAGATGTACTGCTTATATTTCTTACTGTACTATCTTAAGAAATTAATAAATAGATGAAGTTTAAATGGTTAGAACTGAATGGTTTATTGCTGTTAAACTTTGATTTTCCAGCCAGTGAATTTACTATGATTGTATGTAATTGTTGAAAAGGCAGTTGACTTAAGAGTAAAAGGTGTGCATAAATCTTAATAATAGCAAAATGTGGTTACTCTACATTGTACCCATGAGCCTAAGTAAATATCTTAGTGGCAATTTTCAAACAGTAGTGTAAGAAGGTTTATTCAGTTATAGACTGCTTCCGTTTTGATTGCCTGGGGATAATGAGACAAGAGGACTGTAAAATGAAGATTAACTATTTAAATGGCCTGTGAAAAGATGGTATTAGATAATTATTAAGCTAAGAACTTCAACTCCAGGCTTGACTTAATATTCTTACTCTGATTTATTGCTCAGCAATGAAAGTTGAATTCTAACTACAGTATGAGCAACTGAAGTTTAAAAGCCTGTTTTACAAGCTTGGAAGTTTTTTTTTTTAAGTCAGATACTTTCAGAATGCTTTTAATGGTATTAACCTCTCTAATGACTTTATTTCATTTGTGAATATATTCAGTTTTTTGAGAAAACGTTGAGTATGAGAAAAGCAAACAAAACTGAATTACACTCAGGTTGATCTTATTTTCTATTATCTTGATTTCCTAGACTTTTAATAGGGAGCAGCATGAAATGAATATATTAAAATTACCCTCCCATGCTTTCTGATTCTTTTTTCTTTCTCATCTCTAAATTTCTCTAATTATTTTTTGTTAATACAATTTGTATGAATTGATTTGTAAAAATAAGAGGCCAGACTTCTGGGGCATTTGTTAAGCTTTCATTGTCCATGACCCAGCCTTTTAATGATTGTAGGCCTTCTATGAGCCAGTTTGCACATTGTTCCTATCTACTTCAGTTTTTCAGCTTTGTCGTACAGAAATTGTATAGGATACATATACACCTGGGGTTTGGGTGTGGCTACAGATCTTTAGTGTTTGATTTATATTTGAATCCATGTCTTTAGTCATGAAAGGTTTGTACAGAAGGATGTTTCTCAGCTGTCTCCTTTTCATTTTATCAATTGTGTTTGATACTGTTGGAATGTGCTCTAGTTTCTGACAGTTTGAGGTGCTGGGATCAAGGGTGTGTGATTACTAAATCAGTCTACTGGTTTGGCATAGTTCTGGTTAGGATTAAGGGTTAGGGCCCGTAGTCTGCATAAAATATAAGAGACAGAAAGAGGGCTAATGTGCTCTTGCTGCCTGGTTGCTGTGGATTATTTCTCTGCTATGCTCCTCTGCCATGCTGCATTAAACATGGGCATACAGATTTTTTTTGATATGATGATTTTATTTCCTTTCGATATATATCCAGTAGTAGGATTTCTGGAGTATATTATTCTGTTAATTTTCTGAGGAATCTCATACTGTTTTTCATAACGGTTGTACTGATTTACATTCAAACCAATAGTACATGAATTCCCCTTTCTCTACATTCTCTGTCATCTTTTGTCTTTGATATTGCCACTCTAGTAGGGATGAGGTGAAATTTTATTGTGGTTTTGATTTGCATTTT